AGCACTTGACAGAGCTACACCTATTCTTCCCCATTTCCAAAGCAGTACAGAATTAATTACCAGTTCTATGGATCTATTGTAAGTATAATAGACTAAAGAGCTATCACAGACACATTTATTGTAAAAGCACAATCCCAAGAGTGTCTAGTAGAGGGCCAAAACGATTAACACAAATGCTTTGTCAGATCAAAGATAAAACCTGCACCGCCCAATTGAGGAATGAATTAGAACAGTGGGTTATCTTTCAAATTAACCAGGGCAGTTAGTGAGGAAAATTTCATGAAAGTGTAATTCTTAGCCTTTGTGAATCCACACAGCAGGCATTCTGCCAGCTGACAAGATGATGAAATTTTCATGCTTAAAAAAGCCCTCTTCATTTCCCAATTTAGATTAGCTAGCGTTTCTCTCTCTTTTCATCTATTTGCTCTTCTGAAGCAGAATTAAAAAAAAAAAGCACACAACAGGATCAATCTCTCATAGAATAAATGCATTTCTGAGAAGAAATAAAATCTTTCCATGTAATTTAAAAATATATTTACATATAAGAGTAAGATTATCAAAATTGGTACTGTTAATATCATTAAGAAATCTGTAAATACTGGAGCAATGGTAAATATGTTTTGGAAGTCAAACAAAACATACCAATGTTTAATGGCAAAAAAACGATTGCAGAAGCAGATATTTTCATATAAAGGCGAGTCATTTACAAAAACAAAGGGATTGTAGCAGGCTCACAAAATTCTATTTATGCCCTTACATTTGCATCTTTTTAAAGGAAGCATATCATGATTGTATTTATTTATTTAACCCAGTTTCATGTGCCAAAAAGGGCCAGTAGATTTTCTACTTTTAGATTTTATGGCACTCCCCCTTGCCCCTAAATTTATAGAGCCACATATAAAGCATTTCAATAGACTAAAGGAAAAAACAAGCAACATCTTGAACACTTAAACACTTTAAAAAAAATCTGATTCAAAGCTCACTGAAAGAAAAGTACACTTATTTATCTCAGTGAGCTGTGGATCAGGCTGAAAGGCTCTTGATAGAGCTGTATTCATAAAAGGCAGCTCATTATTTACAGGTTAAAAACCACATTTTCACATTTTACATTTTTGTATTATTTGCCATTTGATGAATATATAAACAAAATAATTTAAAAAAAATATTAAAAATGGAGTGACAATATATTTGACCCTTATAAATTGGTGTTTCTGTGCCTTTTAGATACAATTACTACAATAGGAGACTATTTAATAAGAGCCTGAAAGTTTCATTAAATGTTTTGTTCAGACAGTTCTTTGCCATAATACTTCTGGGTGTGTCTTTATAGTTTATAGGATTATATATATTAGTGCAAACACCCATTTGATGAATTTCAACTCCAGCTGTTATACAGTCACTACAAGTATTGGATGAAAGGAATAAACTAAAAGTCTTAGCATCTGATTTTCTAGGAGCTAACAAGACACTTGCCCAACTCCATGAAAAGTCCTTTTGTAAAAAGAAAATTCATGTGCAATCTGGAAATTACTCTCACATTTCCAGAGTCTGAATGTATTGCACAGTAAAACAATGGTTTTAAGCCTGATTATAGCTAACTAGTTTAAAAGTAAATTCTCACTAGCAAAAAAAAAAATCTGAAGCTTTTACTTACATGGACAAATAATTTTCTTTTTTATTATCTTCATTATCCAATATACCATGTAGTAAGATACTTAATAGATTTATGTAAGCAAATTATGATGTTCAATATTCAAACATTACAGTTTGGTTCATAGTCTGGTCTTTAAAGAAAACAAAAGAACAACCAAAATATAAACAGAACAGTGCAAAACATTAAATCACTTTTTGCTCTTATCAGCAGTAAGAACTTCTCCTGCCATTAAAGGCATCTTTCTTCATACAAGTTTACTATCATATCTCTTCTGCATGTGTTTTCAAACACTTTATATGTCTGAAATTATTTAGCATGTGGCATAGTCTATTATCATTATGTACATATATCGACTCTAAAAAGCACTTTTCATGTAAAAACAGTCGGTGTAAATATATTACTTAGACCCATTATTTAATAACACTTTAATAAAATGATAATTTTGCAGACAGGTGGGCTTTGCAATAAAGTAACATGAGATCTCACATTTTGGTGACTTTACCTGTCCAAGTCATCTTTAACTTCAAGGGAAAGGAACAATCTATCTCTACCTTGTGAAATAATGCTTGAATTTAAATAGTCTTAGAAAGTTTTGTGCTTCTTTTGATGCTAAGATCTTCAAAAGAAGTGTTTTTACCTTCAGAAATTATTAGGCTTTCAGAAGAGTTTAGAAAACACTCACCTATAATTGCAATAAGAACTAGTACAGAAGAAAGATAACACAAAACATACTCTTTAATACACTTTCACTTAGTATTAAACCACAATAATAATTCTTAGTATTGTAGCTGCTGTTTGCAAAAGAATTCTGTAATACTTAAGAAAACACACAATAAATTCAGCACATCATTCAAATTTGGTATGGGCCAAATTTTCAAAAACAATTTACTTTTTTGGGTGTACCAAAAGTTATGAGCACATAAACATTATGAATGTCTTAAAAATTTATGTCCATCCTGCAGCTGTGTAAGCAGGCAGTGTTGGACAATCAAAACAAGCAGCCAGGCAATAGCATGAGATGCTCTATGAAAATTTTACCAAAATACCTATATGCCAGTACACAAAATATGATGCTTCTAGCATATTAGAAATGCAAAACACATTGATATAAGTTAAAAAGCATGGTGGGTTTTCTCCTAATGCTGGACAGTGAGAGGACAGAAATATGGTGGGTTTTCTCCTAATGCTGGACAGTGAGAGGACAGAAATTTTAAATACTACACCTTTTTTCCCAACCACTACCACTGGTACTTTGGATTTCTTGTACTACCCCTCAAAAAACCAGAACTGCATCAATTTAATTAACTACCCATCTTTCTCCTCATTTTTTCCCTTCCCAGTCATTATTAAGAAAGATTCATAGTATCTCCCTTCTCCAAATTCTCCAAAGAATTTTTACAGAACTGTATTTGGGTTCCCTTTTCACAATGCAAGACAATATATATCAATTTGAGTTGAAGACAGAGAATCATATTTCAATTACATGAGTAACTGGTATCTACATATTTGATAGGCTTCACAGATTTTCCTAAAAGCATTGAGTTAATGCACTCTGGCTAAAAATCTGGAAAACAGAGAGCTACTAGATCTGTAATAATGCTGACACACACAGTTACAAAAATGTAAATATATCTAACTATCTTGAAGATGCACTGAGAAAACAAACATTCTACATTAATTTTTTAATTCACTGATTGTTTTATTTTCAGAAAGTTGGGGGTTGATGTTGCATGCTGCTACCTTACACAACACAAAAAAAGGCTAACATGACAGTCAAACAGATGTTACCACGGGAGTTTAGACAAAATACCTATATCTTTAAAAGTAATAGTCTTAAAGAGCCCATAATATCTAGACCTTCTTTCTTTCCATCATGGTTGGCCATACCCATATGGGAAAACTGCAGGGCAGAAATAATTTCATCCTGTTCTTAAGGAAAGCTCTTTTAGAGAACACACCACTAAGTTAATAATTCTAAAAGAGATGTTGACTAAAAAAAAAATAATCTGTGGACAAATGATGCTCCCCCATCTCCACCCAAAAAACTCCAGGTTTATCGTTTTATCAGAGACAAGCTTCAGCCTCAGTCTACTGATGAGAACTTTGAAATCAACCTGATAGATACTAATTATGAAATTACCAACAGGGCTGTAGAGACAAACCTCATTAAAGAAAAAAATCACATTAACATCTTTCATTTTCTGCAAGTTCAAAGTACAGCTCTTATAGTTTTGTACCATCTCATTCCCTTATTTTCAAAACCTTCTGAACACCTGACATTAGAATTTTAGGACTTGGAAGTGTTGTGTGAACAGCTAAAATTAAGCTTGTGTAATTCTCACTAATTTAACATCAGTCTGGCAGGCTGGACGCTCATGCAGCTTTCAGAAAACTTTGCTTCGAGGTAAGACTTAGCTGTTGTGAGCCATCTTGGCTAAACCCCCACTCACAACGCTAATTAATTCCAGGTGAAATAGTGGGGATTTTTGGCTTGGTTTCAGGATTTCTTCTGTTCTGTTTGGTGGTGGGGATATATTTTTTTTAACGAGTTTGACATGCACTCCTCTCCAGTTAGCCCATCTGCAACTTGTCAAGTCTACATGCAATTAACTGTCTTATTTACAGCTGCGATGAACAAAAGTCAAGGATTCACAAAGTATCACTCGATTTGTATGTCTTTTCCTCTTGCTTCCAAAGACCGCTTTATTTTGATTCAAAAAAATGCAAAACATCTGCTGTTTGTCCAAATTAACTTAAAATAATTACTTTTAATTTAGATAAAAGATTTATTTGCTTTCAGTTTCAAGGTTTTCACTACTCTGAAGCTTGCTAATTTGCCGATGACTAAAATACACATAATATGCTGTAGAGTTAAATACTTGGCCCTCTTTCAAGTCGTGATCCAAGGTCAGAGATACATTTTTTGGCAGAACTTCTCAACAAGAATGTTGTACCCCTATGACTTTTTATTCAATTCACAGAGACAGAAGGAAAGATAACACAGAAAAATCTTACTGTCAAGAAGGGAGGTGGGATGTAGCAAGATAAACACAAGTTTAAAAAGCACTTTGTTCCAATTATTGTGATTTAGGGTAAGAAACTGCCATTGCTATACAAAAGTTTTATTAAATAGAGAACTGGAAGTTACTAAGGTGCTAAGATAAGGATTCCTTTAAAAAGTGACAGCAACAATCATTCACGACTGTGGGCAAACAGATTAATGAAGCCAGAAAATCTCACATGTTCTGCGAGACGATGCAGCTGAAATGCAAAAATGGGAAAATATCTCAGCACTATCCTATCAGCAATTATCTGCTTCAAAGCTATAAATAGGAGGAGAACTAAAACAATATGGTATCTTCTACATCATATGAATCCTGTTTAAAAAGCTGTTCTCCCTACAAGCATTTTTCTCCCTCACCAGTGAGCTGAAACAAAACAAACAAAAAAACCAACTAACCGAACCATCAAAGACATTGTCATAAATATTTTCCGTTCCACATTTGAGGCAGCAAAACTTGAATCTTTCACAATCCCTATATTTCTCCTCATCAGTGAGCTGAGCTGGGCCACCAACCAAGGCATCATTCTCATCTTTATGGTAATGGTGATGGACTCTGAATTGGGAGGGATCCAGTCCTATTAATAAGAAACAAAAATTTCAAAAGACTAAGAGGTCAACCATGCAAGCAGGCTTATTTTTCATATGCTTGGTGAAGCAGATTCAAAAGAAAGTTACAAAATGTAAATTCAGAAGCTGAAAATCTCTCCTTAGAAAAACTTCCTCTATAAAACATAAATACATTCTACAATTTTTAACCATGAATAAAGGTTCACGAGACATGAAGAAATCATCTTACTTATCTTCTTACACAAGATTGCTTTATAAATAAAACAAGCACACTGCATTATCATGGGAGTATGCACGAGAACATTTTGTTTCTGAGGAAACCACTCCTAACGGATAGCTTTATTGTTATTTTCTTCTTAAGTTACATTGAAAATATTTCAATAAAAATGTGCATCGTTATTAAGAAACAGTCTTTAAATCAAAATGGCACCATTAAAACCAAAAACAGAGAATAAAAACCCCATTAAAGAAACGCGGGTGCACTGCTATTACCAACTCCTTCAAGTCCGTACACAACTGCCAACTCTGATTTCAATGCAGTGGTCGATTTCATTTTGGCTCAGTGGTTAACAGCATGGAGGTTTCAATCTAATGCAGTGGTTAAAATTCAGCAGCAGCATTTAAAACCGCAGCGCTGGAGACAAAGTGCTTTATTTTTGATTGCCAGAACTCAAGATTTTAAACAAATAAATACACAAAAGAGATCCCAGAAATACTGATTCAACCACAAATAAGTAAATAAGTAAGCAAGCACGAAGTTCACTGTTCTAGGAATAAGACTGCCAGAGTAAACTTAATAAAAATCCTCAAGTTTTGTCATCCTTTGTCATGTGCAACATTTTAAAAGCCCATGCATCTCATTTACAGGGTTTTTTTGTTAAGTTCAGGAAAAAACACATGTTGGGAAAAAAACTTAATCAAATGAGCACGAAGGAGAAAACCTTCAGAAAACTATGGCTCATTTTAGTAGTAAAACAAAAAGATCAGAGAAGCACTTTAAAAAATATTTTTAACAGACATTAAGCCAAGTAACAGACTACCGTGTATTAAACCATATCCTGTATAAAATTCAGTTAAAAAAATGTAGTAATTCCTATAAGAAATGTAACAAAGATTATAAATTGAAAGTGAAGCTTCACCTTATTATTAACTGCACTGTGACACTTAAAGACAACACTTAGGAACAATATTCAGTTAAACTACACAAATGCTATTGAACTTATAAAACAGTTGTATTATACAGTCAGATATGTCTGACTTTAATACCACTACTCTGAATTTTTATATTGCAATCTTAAATTCAAGCACAAAGAAAAATTCCATTGCCAAGTAAGTTTATTCGGCTCTTGATAGAATATGGGTTTCACTAAAATTTATTCAATCTTCCCAATTTTGTCAAAAGAAAAAAAATGTCAATGCATAAAGGTAACAATTCACCTCCAGGAGGTTTCTAAACTTTTAATATAGTTCTCCACTATTCATTTAAAGAAAAAGCATACAAAGCAAAATACACTGCTAATAGCATGCTTTACACTTTAATACACATGGTATCCCCCAAGAAAGATTGTACGGGGTTTTTTTCTGTTTCTCTCTTTTTTTTTTTTTAAAATAAAGGGGTTGATAATATATCTGTAGCACACAAGTAGTAGATAAAACATTTAAAAAGGGAACTGGATTCAGATTTTGCAAAAAATCAAGTATGCATATAGGTTGGATCTAAGACAGTAATGGTGAAAACAAAAATTCTCAGTTTACTCTGAGCTCAGAAGTGGAATGAAAAAACATCATTCCAACTTTCTGATACGGATACCATTACATTTCAGCTAGAAATCATTGGTTGTTTTCTGAAAGGCAAATATGGAGCAAAGCAGCCCACTAAAAGATAAAAGGAGACAAATTCTGGTCTTCAGACAATTGCAGTTTTCCAACAATGAGACAAAGACAGTGACAGTAAACACTGGTCATTTAATATTAATTTAATGGGGAAAAAAAATCATTGTGAGAATTGAAACCACACCTATCTCTGAACTTTTTTAGATGTTTTCGCTGGAAAAAACAAAAAAATAAAATATCCTGCTGAACCAAGCATACATCTAAGTTTTGGTGTGCAAACAGCCACAGTGAAATAAAAGGGTCTACAAATCAGGCTTTTAAAGAACATGTCTACCTTAATTATCTTGTGGAACTGGGAACTATTTTATCTATTATCTCCTTTCAGGAATAGCTAGTTGGTTCAGTTAATCCATTTCAGCACCCTAACTGGTATCCCCTTGAACCAGGTCACACTGGTCACATTATTTTACTTGGTACACAAAACAGAGACTATCTAATAGGGAGGTAGAAAAAAATTAATATCTGGTTTTGGTAATTTTTAAATGAATAGGTTGAGACTAATCAGTGAACTGTGAACTTTTTTTTTCTTTTTTTTTCTTTTTCTTTTTTTTTTTACCCTCATGACATCACAAGAAAATAAAAATCAAAGGTGCTTTGACTTACTCTGACAGGAAAAAGTCTTTAGGGCTATCATTAAATTACCTGCACTGCAGGCAAGCTTTATCACCTCGCCAAAACTACAAGGCTGGGTGCAGGACAAAGCACTGCAACATTCCAAACGTGCTGACAAACGCAGTGTGACCAAACTAATTAATAAAACTAAGTTCGGGGAACTGTTCCTGATTTTTTTTTAATAGAATTATTAAAACCATTACTAACTGGCAAGCAAAGCGGATCACTCAAGAACCTTGAAAAAACTGTCAGAGATTTTTACCAAAGGCAGTATTTTAAAAGCAACATTTCTGCGGATCGCTCGTGCACGTCCTTCCCCCGCACTCCCTCACGCAGGGGCTCCGCGGGAG